TACTAACCATTTATTGTCATGCTACTAATTTTTATTTTTATTTTCCAATAAATATTTTTCAAACATGTTTTGTATATTACTGCAGAGTTTTAGGAAAACGATCTTAGATCTTTTTATCAATCGTTATTGTATAATATTAATTTTGTTTAGCGCCTGAAATGATGTTGAAGATTAACTTCAAGGTTTTATGTTTGCAAATGGAAATCTAAATTCATTGCAAGTAGTATTCGAAATATAAAAGTTTGTTCTGGCTTTTGCCGAACTATCATATAACTATACGGCAAGTTTCTACTTTGTCGTATGTCGTCTTTGGTTCGAGGTCTTCTTCCAATTCCGGGTAATTCTATTATGGTTCGGAATATTGGCTCTGATCTATTGAGTCGGAGAGACATTTCAATTAAATTATTGTCGTATAACATTTTGTAAATGTTTTTGTCTAATTTCTAATCTATTTTTGGTTAATTCTAATCTAGTAAGGTCTTGTTCGAGACTTATGGTCGCACCAGATGAGTTAGGACCGAAGTGTAACTCATAGAGTAATTTCGGATAGGGTACACCGTCTGCTCGTCACGCTATCTTATTTTCGGCCGGATAGATTCGTGCAACTTCTTAGTCTAATACCGATCCTAATCTTACTCTTATACTATCTAGTCTCAGGTTGTTTAACTAGTCTCTGCTAGGCTCAATAGATCTAGGGTATACTGGTTTATTGCGGCTGCTGAAGTGCTCGGGAGAGTCCAACTAATTTCTAAGTTAAATTCAAATCTCTCTGGTGCTGAAATTACAAGTAACTTCAGCACTTACAAATAAGTGGGTTGTTAGTTAGATGGATCATGATTGGTTAATATTAAATACTTTACATTGGTAAAACATTTAATTTATCCAATCATAAAATATAGTTTAGATCAGGTTCCAGAACTGAAATACGTGATATTTCTCATTAGTCAAATTGTCTCTATGATTTAAGCGTAAGAAAAGCTGCCCGTTGTACCTCTGTAATTCACAAATGCTACACATGCAGTTAAACTCAATTTGTGTACGGCAAAACTCTATTCAGACAATGCTCATAATTAAATATTTAAGTCAATTTTAAAGCAGTTTTTGTCTCAAACAAACCGCAGACTTAAAAAGCATAGAAATTTATAGCGCTTAGGACCAATTTTAATAGCGCTTATAACAAAATAAGAAAATTAACCTTAACACCTCGCTTAAGGTAGACTTCTAGATCTCTTGAGTTAAGATCGTCAATATAGCCTAGTAGTTAGTTTGATACAACGACAGAAGTCGAACATCAAAACTAACCATTAGTTTACTGAGTAACCTTGAGAAAAAAAAACAAATTTGAAAATTTTAATCCGATTTTTAATCTATAAATTTTTGGAAATGTATATGATTAAATAGATTCAATTGATCAAGCTAAAATCCTTCACCCAGATATACCAAATTAAGATCTTCCAACCCAGCATTTAATTCGTACTGAGCGCTGCATGATAAATGCTAGATTCTGATTGTGCCAATTTCTCAACTTAGAACCAAGGTAACATCCCCTCCCCCAATAATTTTGGGGGCGTGGGAAGATTATAACTTGGTTTGATTCTTTTTTCAACTTTCAAATTAAGAGTTGCATGTTCATGACAGTTGATGTATTTTTTTAAAGAAACTTTAAGGCGAGTTTTATGCTAGCCAATACACGGATAATTGCGAAATGTTGTCTCCCTTATCCGCATGTGAGGCAAAACTCAAATTTTTGTTTGCTTGGTTGCAGAGTTGTTAGCTTAGGTAGAATTGTTTCAACTTCTCGCCGAAAAACACTAATTACTGTTCCGTTTTCCGGAGAAAGTGACGGAATAATTGTGCTTGGGTGTTTCTTTCTGCAGACCAGTTTCAACTTTTTAACTAGCCATTTTTATACCATCTGAAATTTATACCATTTTTAGCTCAAATTTAAAAAGTAATTCACTTGTGATCTTCCCATTCAACTGGTATCTGCTCAAAGATTGTCGGCCTTGTGTCCATCCACTTCGCAAGTTTTTTGAGTTGCTTATTTTAATTTCAAATGTTTTGCTTTTCCCAGAGTTCCTGTGTGATAAAATCAGGTATTATGAAAATAAATGGTTTTTTTTAATTTTTTTTCGTCGCTTTGGAAAATTGTAATACTGTTTGCAAAAAAAAATTTTTTCCTCAAAAATCCTTCTACCGATTCTCAAGAAAAGGGGGATCCATAGAAAGGCGGCCTATATGTTTGTGTGCCTGCATACCCACCTGGTCTTTTTTTGTTTTCGAAAAGGTCTGTGGGGGGAGATTTGACAGATAATTTTGACTTTTTTCGTTTTCTCTAAAACTAACCTATCATATCTAATTTTTTGGTTTCAATGAATAGACAAGATTTGAAAAGCTCCCCTGCATAAGTGGTTATGCCTAGTTTATTTTATACATAAATTTATGGCCCCTTGGAATAGTCAATTTTTTGATTTTTTTAACCGCCTTTTTTAAAATCTTTTTAAAAATTTTTTCAAAAAATAACATCCCAAAAGTGAGGTTTTGCATACAATGAAACTAATAGGCAGTGAGACGTTACACTACATTAGCTAGGCTACTGACAATTTTTTTACACAATAAGTTATCATCCTCGGAAAATTCCTTTGAGTCCTATCATCATTTGAGTGTGTTTTGAATTATTTTTTAATTTTTCTCAAAAACTAACCTGTTGAACCTGAAATTGTGGTTTTATTGGAGATAATGGGATGTGCGATTTTCCCTTGCGTTAGCATCTTCTCAGAAGTTTTTTATACAAAATTTATAGCCCTTGGAAAAGTTACAATTTATGTTTTTTGACCGCTTTTTGAAACTTTTTGACTTTCTCGAGAACTACTCTCCCAAATCTGAGTTTTCTGAGCTCACAAAATTGAAGGTTGCGTGAATCTCTTTTCTGTATAGTTGGCTCTTTTTTTACGTGAAAAGGGTTTTTACGTGAAAAGGCTCTTTAGGGTTGCGTGAATCTCTTTTCTGTATAGTTGGCGTGAATCTCTTTTTTTACTCGACTATACAGAAAAGAGGTTCACGCAACGCTCAATTTTGTGAGCTCAGAAATCTCAAATTTTTTTGCACAAAAAGCTATGATTTTCGGAAATGTCAATTTTTTGCTGACCGTTTTTGGACTTTCCTCGATAACAATCCTGCCAAATCTGATATCATAGGTTTAATAGACCGGGTTTTTGGAAGCTTATCTTTTTTATTTGCTACGCCCAGTTTTTTGTTTTCTCAGCAAAAAACGTTTTGGCCTTTAAACAAATTGAATTGTTGAAAATCGGACCGTTTTAGAAGTTTTTTTACTCGACTCGAAAATGACCGTGCCAATTCTCAGGTTAGAGTTCAATCGAGAAACCCGGTTTTTGGAATTTTCTCTTTTTTACCAGCCAAGACTTGCGTTTTGCATTAAAAATTTACCGACTTCGGACAGTTAAGCTTTTGAATTTTGACCGTTTTTAAGAAACTTTTTAAGTTTTTTTAAAAAGTACCCAATCAAATCTGAGATGCAAATTTCAATCAAAAAGATGCAATTTTCAATCAAAAAGCGGCTGCGCGATTTTTTTCCTGTAGAAGCGGCTACTCCTTATTTTTTGCCAGAGAAAGGCTAGGTCTTAGGGAAACTATAAAATTTTCACTCTTCTAACTTATTGTAGTTGAGAAACAACTAAGGTTTTGGGCAAAGTCTACTTTTTGAAATTACGCATTTCGTCCTGCATCAGTATAGCAAATTCAAAAAACATCAATTGGTTGCCTCGAGCTGTAGCTGACCCTTTGGTGTCCTTCATTGAGACATACGAAAATTTTGGTTCACCTAGTTCTTAACATTTTTCATATTTTTTTGACTCATGCTTTTTTTATGATTGTGTTGTATCGCAAGTGGTGCGAAGCTCCGCTTTGCCTCTGTGTCAAATTATCAACCATTTTTTTTATTTTGGCCTGAAAAATCAGTCGAAACATACTGGGCTTCTCCTTCGATATACGAATTGTCTTGTTCCGGTCATAAATCGTTCCAAATTGAACTGAGTGAAGATATTTGGTGTAATAAATACACTAAAAAACGCTAAGAACATCGTTTTGTACTTTGTACGAACATCGTTTTGTACTTGATCGGTCTTATTTCTTTCAGTTCGCGCAAGATTTAATTCATCTGATTTCTTCGGCCCAGAAGTTGATGGATACCTGGCCTACTTTCAGCCAGCTTTCTTGTTAAGGAAGCGTATGGGAAAGCGTGTGAGAATGTTTTTACTTATTCCGCTCGGGTTTTGTTTTTAGAGACCGAACGTTTGCCGTCGAAATAATGCAAAGACTACTTTTTGTTTTGCTGAGGCGATTATCAGATTTAGTTGTGCGGCATAGTTTCAACAAGACTTCTCGTATCAGGGTTCCATTTTAGCTCAGGACAACAATACCTTTCGGATGATGAAGAAAATCTTTCAAAACAATGACTGAAAATTTCGAAATTTGTCTGTAGAAAACAAAACACCGCGAGAACAATTGTTTTTAGGACAACTTATTCACGAGGGAAAGTACCAAAATACGCTCTGTACAGCTCATTGCAGCGCACCGCTGTTTTGCCCCTGCTTAAGAGCTATATGCAATTGTTTTGGTTATTTTTCTATGCTATGTTGCCTCCACCCTCAAGCAACGAGCACGGATCATGGTGGGCCTCGATCACACGACCTTTTGATTAAGAGGTTAGATGTACCCACTTCACCAGCGATCCCACTGCTCATATTCTGTCACTTTTTTCGAAGTCGTAACAATAGTTTTTGAAATTATTTGTTACTATGCTGCCACTTCTTGGTGATACGATTCTAGATTAAGAAGGTTAGTCAGTTCGAATAACTAAAAGTAGAAATGCGTGTTGGTGTTTTCAATTGATGTGTTTATTTGTTGGCTTGTTTGTTGGTTTGTTAGTTTGTTAGGTTGTTTATTTACTTGTTTGTTTGTCAGAGTGTTTTTTTGTTTAGGGATGTCTTCGTATTCGTCCTGTTCGTGTTCATCCTTCCCTGCCTATGCTGCGCTATTTGCGCAGGCACCATTGCTCTCATCATCTATTGCGTCAATAAAAACGGTAGACAAAACAACAACTCTTCATTTTTTCATTGTCTTAATGTATTCGAAAAAGGTAAAGACAGTTCAAAATTATTAATGAAATGCAGATGTTAACTTGATTCAGGCATAGCAAATTATCCGGGGAATGATGCCCAAATTATGGAATGCAAACTACGGAAGTTTAGCAAAAAATAATTTTATCAAAATCAGTTTCAAGTCAAAATCTGTGCAAAAAAGCGTTATTTCGTCAAAATCTAAGCAAAATCACTGCGAGTTTTATGTGATTATGTGATAATCTGCGGTTTGAAAAGATTGCGTAATTATGCTGTATTTATTCAGCCTTCTATGTTGCAAACTTTAAAGGGGGTAAAAACGTATGGTTTTAAAAGTGGCGGGGTAAGTTATGAAGCTGATCGGGTCTAAGTGCAACCATCCGCTAGGTAAAAAAACTGTGTACTCCTACGGTGACTTAAATTGGTGTTCATAATTGCACATGGGTTCAATGTTAGGCAAACTTGCCGTGGTTTCTAAGTAAATTTGGGACAAAAATATCTTTAGCGAGCGGCAGAAATCAGATCTTTGCGCAAATTTTTGAAAAGTTTCGGGTTTTGCCATGGTAAAGTTGTTTAATTAGTCGTGCCTTTTTTGATAGTTCGATCATTTTTGTTAGAGTTATTACTTAACAAAATATCTCGGTTCGAAAATGGCTTCCTTTATATTTTTATTAGTATATCTAAATATATATGTGTAAAAAAACATGTGTTTCTACATGCATTTATACCGAGCTCGCCGAAAACACTGTAAGGGCCCTGTTCTATTTTGTTGATATGCTTTTCAAGCATAAAAAGTTCGAATAGCAATACCAAGTGTAACAAATATACAAAGGACGGTGGATGGTAACTAGCTGTTTCAGGCCAACAGGCTGGAGTTGTTCACTATCAATCAGGGGGAAACGGGACAATGTCAGTGTATCCACAATATGGCACCGCCTACCCCCCGTACCCATCCCAAGCGTACGCACAGCCCCCTGCCCTACCCGCATACAGTCAGACTGTGACTATGACTCCCCAGGAGCAACCGTCGACGGTGGAACCGGAACCATCCGCATCAAACGACACCAGGCCTCAGGCGCCGCCACCCAGTTTCAAACAACAACAGGCCTCCTATGGATTTGTAGGAAGTGAATAGAGCTAGTTGGGAAGAATATCAAAAGTAACAACAAAATCTAAAAGTAACTCGAAAACACTATTGTTCTGAGAGCACCGAGAGAACTAACATTCTGTAAAATAGATACAAATTCAAAAGATAGTGTGCATGCGTGACTCAATTGATTTTTCAAGACTTTGTTGAAAATTAATGTTTTTATCATCCATTTAATCCCGGTTGTCATTGGGTTTCACATGCATATTCCATAAACCAGTCATACAAGAAACTTGATATATACTGAAAGGCTTTAACTTGCTTTTTTACATTGATCTTGCTGTAAACTGAATATTACCTAATTTAAAAAACTAAGAAGCCCAATTTATAGATATTAAACTTCCCAAAAGGATCAACTTTTGAGACTGTTGAACACAAATACAGTTTCGGCACTTTTATACTTCGGCTTCATCATTATCATTTTTATTATGAATATACAGATTAGATAAGCAAGTCTGAAAGGATTGCTCCCTCTTAAAATTCCATTTAAAGTTTCCATGTGCTTGATACAATCTCTGAGTTAAATGAGTTGGGGTACCTCCAGCAGCATCTTAAAAATCGAGATTCGAGACCATGGCTCTCGAAAAAGTCGATATTTTGTTCAATTATATAAGCAAGCCTTGCTGTTCTTATCCAGAAATTCGCTTCTCCATCTTTGCGTTGCGAGATCAAAAGTGTGAACCTTGTGCGCTGAGCAAGGTTGGTCATGGCAGATGTCTGTTCTAAATATTTAAGTCTTGTATGTTGATATCATAATTATTTTGAACTATTTTGTACATCATGAGTAAGTCGGAGATCTGAAAGCATAAACTCAGTGAAAGAATATTTGCCTTCTTCAGACCTCCCAAGTAGTCACCAAATCCGGTAGTCCAACGAGTCGCTGTCTCTGTACTCTTCCAGACAGCGAAGTCCTGTAATATTCGGCTGCAGGCAGGTTGATGCATAAACAATTATGGGAACAACTAGACTTCGGTAGATTTACAGCTTGTATTTGAATGTTAACTCAGGGGAGTTTCTCTTTATCATAACAAGCACACCACAAGCTTTGCGGCAGTTTGTGATCACGTGACCAAGCTACATGAGATCTTCATCAAATACAATCCGATGAGCTACATGCCTGAATTTCAAATCTTTCAGAACTCACTTGGCCCTCTGAATTTCAAATCTTTGCGCTTTCCCGCATAAAGAGTCATCCGATTTTCGAAGCACCACAGGGAGATATTGTCAAAATTGCTCCTCACTAATTGGGTTTCGGTTTTGACAGCAACAGTTTCCGCATCATGCGCACACATGTAACTTTTTGTAAATTCACAGGAGTGAGGAAAATCATAAATAACAACAAGAAAATTGAAAGGATCAACAACGAAGCTTTGTGGCACACCACTCGACAGGAGGTCATCTATTTTGACGCAAAACTTTCGTTTTCCTAAAAATGACGATATTAGTTTAACAATTTGCCACGCACGCCAAGAAACTGAGACAATAGACCACCGTGGTAAACCTTATCAAACGCTTTTTTGAACTCTGTACAAATTACATCAATATAGCTTTGACTTTCTATTCCTTGGTAGATGTCGTCTAGAAAACACAGAAGTTGAGTCACACTAGGTCGATTTGTTCTAAATGCGTGCTGGGATTCATTCAGTTCACTTTGCAGAAATTCGTAAAGCTAGAGAAAGATACATCTTTTAAGCTTTTTTTGAGATTAAGGAGAGAAGTGATAGAGGGAGGTAGTTTTCCTTATTTTCTTTGTTTTTTGAACGTCCCCTAGCATTGTTGAACGCCCCCACCCCTCCTACAATAGTATTGACGTTCTAGAGTAATGAAAAGTGTGCAGATTATAGCAAAAGCTGTATTACCAATATTGTTGCCAAAAAATCCACAATTGATCTCGTAAAAAACTTGGTAATATTGAGAAAGCGTGCATATAAGGAATACAATATTTTTCAACGAAATCGGATTTTTGCCGAACCAGTTTTTTCCAATTCTTAGTGAAAAAAAATCTGAAGCATGCAAAAAGACATTTTCGTACAACCTTGAAATATTAAAACTGTTCTCGAGTTGACCAAAAAAGTCTAATTTTAAGTATTATTCTCTTGTATTATATTGAAAAAAAAACAACTTATTTGATGAAAAATGTAATGATTTTTTGCAATAATTCCATACGTAAAGCAAATTATATGAATCCCTAATAAAAACATTCTCCCACACATGAAAATGAAAAAATTTTTTTGGCTATGCCATACTTACGCGTTTTAAAATGATACTATTGACAAGTAACTCCTAAATAAATTGACGTTGATTAGGATGATCGAAATTGTATGGGGGAAAAAGATCGAAGTTTTTCATAACATCAAGAGTACAAGCGAACAAATTTCATACGGTTTTCACCAACACCACAAAAAAGACTGGCTTAGTGTTGGGCCGATAAACCAAAATGCCAAAAAGCAAAAAACAGCACAAGACTGCCCATATATATGAGACTGCTGAAAGCTCTGATTGTTTTAACACCAGTTTTCGAACAACAATTGATAAAATAATTTGAAAAAATTGAAAAATTGATCAATTTTATTATAATTTTAGCTTTTTTCACGCCCCCCACACATACCCTTTTTATGCAAAATACAATGGGATGTGTTTTTTGTATCGAATTGTTTTACAAAGAAAACAAATTGCTGGCCTCACACCGATTTTGAAAATTTTTTTTTTCGTATTCGTGTGTATGAAGAACGCAACATAACGCGAGATATAAACTCCAAATTGGCCAAATTAACAATTTTCAAACCCTCCGTATCTTCACAAATTCATCGCGCGAAAATTTTTTTTATAAACAAAACTTTGTACCAAAATGTTTCAGGTGAAGCAAATATTTTGGCCAAAATTGCAATTTGATTGGAAAAAAAACATTTCAATATTAAATATTCAATATTTTCAAAAGTAAGAACAAAAATAAATTCAAAAAAGCACTATTATCATATCAACAGGTCCTAATAAGGAAAAAAAATCAGTTTAATCTTTTGATAATTTCACTAAAAGAAAATAAGACGAAAAATAGTCCAAGAAAAGTATCATACATTTTTTTTCATTCGACGATATTAGACGCTAAAATAATTGTAGTTAGCAGCGAACGCAATGTGAAGCATAAGTTTACATTATACACAACATGAAGCAACAATTTTGATTCATTAAAATGGTGTGTTACGTTCTAATTTTTCAGTTCCATAATTTTGCGGTTTGTTATTATGACGCGTCGTGAAAATTTCATCGAATTTTTACTTAATAAATAAAAACAAACTCCGTTTTTGACGCAGAATGAAATGACTGGCCATCTCATATCTTTCAAACGCTATGCAACGATCATAAGTAGCCACTGAAGTATAAATTTCAAACCACCTGGAGAAAGCTTGCCGAAGAAGAGTATAATTTTTCTAAAACATTTTAAAAAACGCCATAGGCGATGATTTCGTACTTGAGTCATTTGATAGTATAACCAATTTTTCTACAGCTTTTTCTTCTGTGCACAAAAAATATTGTTGCACCTTATATTGACCGTTGGATTTTTCCTGTAATTTTTCTGCCACGAGAAAAGCAAAAAATGCCAATTTGTATTGCATCTAAGTATATAGCGGAGATGGAAATATTTCTCCATAATTCATTCAAATTTATAAATACCGGTTGTACTTTTTAAACATAACTTGAAACCTAACTTAGTTTTAATGCCGCCTCAAAAAATAGTGTTATACCCATCAACTAAATCATTTTTTAAGACTTAGAGTTCAGGAGTAGTCTGCCAACAAAATTAATCGTATCAGGGTAAAGTTTTGGAAAATTCAACTGCCCTTTAAGGTTTATGGAAGAACTTTTTCAATTGAACAAAAAGGAAATTCTAGAAAAAACTTTTCGATGTTTTTAAATAATCATTTCTCATACATTATATAATGTACAAGCTGATAAATTTCGCTGATAACAATGCGATAATTAGACTTAACAGTCTACCCGAATTGAATTTGGAACAATTTCTGAGTCGGAATTTTTTGTCGTTTGTGTTATAGAATATTATATATCGCGCGTTAATTATCCCAAATAGGCTATTTTGAAACCCTACAACTTAACGAAAAACGATCACAGATGAAGTCTTTTTTATGATGTAGCTCAAGTCGTCGATACTTTTCAGACGGTTCAATAAAACGCTGCCAAAATGACTGGTAAAAATGAACTTTTTTTGATGAAAAAAAAACCACCCCGAGCACAAACATTTATTCGCTTTATTCGAAAACCGGAACAACAACGTATTGTTTTGGAGATAGTCGGTGTTTTTTCCTAATTAGTTTGCCTGCTTTCTTCTAATTTTTTTTTCGGGGCCTCAAACAGATGAGTTTTTGAATTCCTGCTCTTTGTACCATAGTGTTATTAAAAGAGATTACTAAGCATAAACTTTTCTGTCAATTTTTTTTAGACTAATAATATCTTATTTTTTTTAAATTATGAATTTTATTACCAAAGGATTTTATTTTTGACACCTCCAAGTGTAGCTCAACTGGTTCGTTTTTGGAATACGGAGACAGTGTCATCTGATTGTGCGAAGTTTCTTAGAATCGGGAAGTAATTATTTAAAAACATGCCGCTCGGTTTGGCTGTTCGTTTTTAGCATCACTGTCTGTTTCTGTCAGTTGTATTTCTTGTATGATAAGCCACAAATGTCAATGATGTGTATAAACAAATTGGGATCATTAACTTTTTTAGTTTCCAGTGTTGTGAACGCGTAGTGTTGTTATTTAGGCCACCGAAGGAGGGGAGAAACTTCTACTTGCTGTTTAATTTTAATCTAGTTTGAGCAAAGAGTGAGATTCCCTAAAGAGACTCGCCGAAGTAATGAAAACTTAGAAAGATACTTTGACTTGTTACTTGTCTTTTGGAGATCTTTATAGGCTACTAGTTTTCCTACTTATTTTGCTTAACATGGTCGAATCTTGGACCCTAAATTTGAAAATACGTTGTTATGCACTTGTTTGACATGAATAAAGGCTACTCACATCAAACAAACGATCGAATATTAGATTTACTACTGAGCTTTTGCTGCAGAAGCTTTAAAAAATTTTGAGTTCGATAGAAGTCGGCTTTCTATAATTCAGATTCAAAAAATAATTATTTCAGAATCTGGACTCGTGGAATGTGAAACAAAATCGCTGCTCCAGGAAATACAAAATGCCTGCTATTTGCTTAAGTTCTCATTCTGGTTAAAAATACAAATTTCTCAAACCCCAATGATTATTTAGTCTGCCCAGTTTACAGTAGCAACATGCGGGAGACATTGGGCGAATAGTTATTGAGCCCGATTCATTCTCTTCGAATTAGGTGGGCACTTCTGTCTTTTTGTTTTTGGTATTTTTGTTCAGTTTTTGTGATAGCCATGATAGATATAATCGATGAATGTTTTTAATCTAACTTTAATGCAAACAGACTGCAAAACTGTGATAGAGCCCCAAAATGATATCCAAGTTTCACTTCATAAGCTTGAGTAGTTTCTGTGAACGAAGTGTTTGTTCAATTAGGAATAGTGAAGCGTTGTTCATATTAGTGCTATATTTTATTGAGGGCTACTCAACTATTCTATGAGGCTAATTGGCCTTTGTGTCTGTGTCACCCTCAGCCCTCTTTTTCAGTCCTAATCAGCACTTGGCTGTCAGATTGTTCCTTACCCCACCCGCAGCAATAACCAACTCACACCACTACACCACCAACACCAACAATCACTCAGGAAACGGAAACTGAAAAGACTGAACATTCCACTAGACCAGTCATTCAACTAGAATAGACCCAAACGACAGTTTACACTTAGATTAAAGCAGAATAAACTAACAGATACTCTCTCTTTTCAATTTAGGCCGAGGCACATAAAAGTAATTTAACAACTTTTCATATAGTCACTTTATTTATTGCTTCCGGGTTAGAAAAGTGTTGTCAAATTAAGGTAAGAAATCCAAATTTACGAGCAAAGGAAGAGTCAACGGCATGAGTAGCCGTTAGCTGGGCAAGAAGCACAGAGAATTCCGATCAAATGCACCAGCATCAGAGCGTCCTTGGTTTTCATTAATGATTTTTGTAAACTCATGTTTATTCTGAACATTTGAGTTTTAAAAAAATTAGCGTTGAAAACTACAATTTTTTCAAAGATTTAAGTTTTTGGCTTTGAACAATCAGTGTTTCAGTGTCGAGAAAAAAAAACATTTATGTTTTTTGCTATTCGATCTTACCGGTGGTGACACTAGGCCGGACGTTTTGATGTGAACGACCAGAATAGACACTGGTGCTAAGGGAAAACTTCGTTTTAACAGAGCTTAAGAATTGTTTCACCACTTTGACCAAGAAATGTTTGTCGAAAGTTAAATGGAAAAAGCTTTGGTTGATCGATAACAAAATTTTATATAGAACTGACTGAGTTGAGTTTTAGAGTGATTTCATATCAAGAAGCTCAAAAAGCAAAGACAAAAACGGCCTTTCTAGGGAAAATTTTGGTCGATTAGAACTTCTGACTATATATTTTTACAACTATGACAGACAAGTCCCAAAGATAGCAAATTTTTGTTCCGAATATTGAAAATGGGGAGGAACTTTGTATTCGGGACAGTTTTAGTTTTTGTTGTTTTCCACAAATAATGATTGGACTGGGTTGAGTGATATATCATATTAAAGCCCTTTCATTCGTGGTTAGAACCACACTAAATTATCCGAAGTTTTTTTTCTAGTGTCGAGAAAAACTGGTTTGAAATTTTTGTATTTTCGTCTTATTTAGAGCGAGTAAAGCGATCGAGCATGCTTACTAATGCTTAAATTAGGCCGTCAACAATAAGTTTTTAGAGTTTTTTAAAGCAATTTTGGGAATCAAATTTTTCAAAATTCATAACTACTTAAAAAAATGAAAAAAATTTTGGGAAAATTTTTTGAATTTTCTTAAGGATCTACAAAAAATGTTTTTTAATTGGCCCATATTAATATGAATGTCGAATATGCCTAAGTTCTGTTTTTCGTTCAGATATTTTTCATCAGATCACACAGAAAACGCGACACCAATTTGAAAATTTTTTTGTACTTTTTAAAGACTATGGTCGGAACAATCTGTGCTACTAGCACAGTAGTGGGCTATCAATGTTCAAATTTTGCAAAAAAGATCGACAATTAAATTGTTTTCAATTTATGCGTTTCAAAAACCGATCTCACAAAATGCATTGAATTACAAAACTTTTCACTTTTCTCTACAAGATAGTGGCACTATCATGTTGTTTCTATAAATCAAATAGATTGCTTCAAACTATATTTTTCATACAAACCTTTTAAATGTGGATAACTAATTAATTATCAAAACTCAATGGTCACAATTTTTTTGTAATAAGCGTTCCATTTATAGCTAGTGGGGCAAGAAGTTTCACGAATGATACGTGAAAAATAATGCAACATTTTTAAAATGGTTTCACTGGGGAAAATTGTTGAATGGCAACGTTCTAATTAATCAACAATATGAGGAATTAGGTGTATTCTTTCTAAGTATTTTTAATTAAATGCCAGTTTCAGCTCTAGAAAATTACTCGGACAACGTCTTCTTCAAAAAATATGAATTTTTTTTTTGTTCAGATTTTTTTCCTGCACCTCACATATTTGTTGTCTGGGTTTTACGAGTAGTTAAATGAAGTTTCTCATCACAAATATGATTCAAGATATCTAGTTTGAAACATATTCGTAGTGGCAAATGTTGTAAAACTACTCGTAAAACCCAAAAATATTTTATGTGAGTAGAAAAAAAAAACAGACCCAAAATCTTAAAACAAAAATATTTTCTTTCTGAAATTCTTACAAGAGGACGGTTATCGAGTAGTTTTCTAGAACCCAAATTGGCATGTCCTTAAAATGATTACTAAAATAACAACTTTTGTTTAACCCGTTTTTTCTTTCAAATTACAAGTTGGCTAAAATTCACTCTAAATAGCATCGTATGCCACTTTAATTATCATTGGAAGTTTTCAGCCAAAGCTTCAGAAGTAAAAAAAAATTTTTCTAATAAAAAAAACGATTTTGTTGAGGTATTGAACTAGGTTTTTACAGGTGATCTGGCTCTTGCAAGGTGCGCTAAATTAAATTCAGATTGAATGACAAAAGTTGAAGATTTTTTTATTTTATAAAGTTTTTAATTGAATTCTGCATACAGTAGGCACCTAATTAATTACAAGCTTTATTTTCAGGGGCGGATCTAGGGTTTTATCGAGAGAGGGGCGGAATTTCAAAAAGTTTTAGAAAATTTTGCCGACATTTTTTAGCTCTCCCAAGTCGCTATGAAGACCCTCTTTGATCTAATGTTCTGCGTCGCAGTCAAATATTTGAAAAAAGATTAAAAAACGCGTATTTATGCACTTTTAGCAAAAATTTGGTCCAAAATTGCGTTATTTGGCGCGCGCTCGTCCCTTAGAATTAGCATATAGTGGCGTCAAATGCGCCTTTAGAAAACTTTTGGCGTAGGTCAGCCAAACTTGAATATCCTAAAATAGTAACAAAAAGGGGACCCTTTGGGTCGGCTTTGGAGCGAATCCCTGAGGAGTATTCGCCCATGGTTGCTCTGATACGAATGGCATAAAAAACTTTTAATTGCGAAATATATACAATGGAAGCATAAGCCATGCAAATGAATTAGCAAACAATTTTTGACGATGGATTTTATACCATTCCACAGATATCATTGCTATGAGCTCAAGTTTTAAATGAAGTTCACTTGTGACTTTTTTGAGGTTCGATGGGCATAAAATTTCTATTTCGGCCTATTTAAAACAGTTAGTGCGCGCAAAATTTCTATTTTCGAATTAATCGGTAGCATATGTTGCGTTTTTATCCGGCGCACACATCCTTCGTTCTTGAATCAAGAAGATTTCTGGCTAGTGTTCAATTTCTAGCGCTCGAAGATTTTTGTTGATTTGAAGCTGCTATCATAAAAGTTTTTCTCTAGGTTAAATGGCACGAGAGTTTCTGGAAAACGTTTCATATCTATTGTGGCGACAATAGGACCTCTTGGAACAATTTTCCTAATGTCTTGTTTTTTAGGGCAAGCTAATGTTTTGTTGCATATACTTTGAAGAGATAAAATCGTTGATCTCTGTTTTTTATGCCCTCAAGTTTTTTTTCCGTTTTAATTAGTTTTTAAGGCACTGGCCTCGGCAGTATTCTAAAACTTCTTGAAGCTTTTTTCTAGAAACAGAGAAAATTAATTTTTGCAGAAAAGAATTTTAGCAGTTGCACATTACAACTTCTTGATTTTCGCGCTGAGTGATAAAAGTAATTCTGAAATTGGAGTTTGATTCAACAGATAAAAAAGTACCTAAGATTTATCGCACTTTTATAAGCGGCCAATTTCGTCCGAGCACATAAATTTTTCCATATTAGAGACTGTCTTCTCCCTTCTCCAATATTTACTTATAACAAAAACTTTCAAAATTTCTAGTACAAAAAAAATCAACAAGAAAAAAAGTATTTCTCGTTTTGGAATAGGGAAAAAGGAAAGCTTCAAATTAATTTTCAAGTCGTGGAAAAAATAAAGAAATAAGACCATTAATGGATGACGAGTGAAAATAAGTTACTTTCGTAATCCATTCGCCTACTTCTAATTCATTCACATCTTTTACGTTTACTTTGCGTGTTTTTGTTTTTCAACTCCATTGCGTTAAAAAAACGCAGTTGAAACATTTGTTTGTGTGAGTAAATTTGAAAGTGCATTACATTTTTTAGTATGACGATGCATAGAAACTGGGGTTAAAATTAAAATGATTGCCTCTCTCAATCAATCTAATTTTTGGTGGTATTTTAAAACCCACTTGCGGTTGATTTGAAGCTATTCAGTTGCCTGGTGGTGACATGAACTGTGTATAAATCCACTTTTATAATTCACATTTGACTTATTTTTCTCTATGCTTTTCCCACTGAGCTGATAGCAATCAACAATCAGGCAAAAGCGCATATCAACAAAATAAACCACCGGTGATGTCCTCTCAGTAACAGCTATAATCAGTCGCACAACCACCACCAGCCTCAGCCTCCATCCCAATCTACTGAACCCACAGAGCCGCATAGTTAATCACCCCACCCCATTTACAAAGCACATTCCCTCCATTTGTTGTATCTGTTGATCAACTACCTCCCCCCTCCCTCCCCTCTGCGTTCGCATCATTAGATGATCCTCCCAACGGAGAAGTGACTTTATCCCTTCCTGAAAGGAGAAAAGCAAACATCTCCCCGCGGATATTTACAACAAATACTTGGTTAGTTTTATGCCTGCTCCCCTCCGTCGTCTAAACAGGTTGTGTGTATTATGATGCTTGGCTACAGGCACTGCTGACTTAGTCTTGACTTTGCATATTCCTTTGATTAATGTGCAATACCCCTTTTGATTGCTTTGTTGTTAAATCTTGTTTTCCTCAGATGTAACTCAACAGAAGCCCTCTGATCAATTCAAGCCCTTCTTCTCAATCCAATTCCCTGTACGACTGCTTCCTGAATTTCATCCCCCCCACCCCTCACATATTGAAACACATTTTGCCATTTCGCCGTCAATTATTGCCACTCGTATCGAAAAAGAGGCTTTTTTTCAAACCTACTGCCTGCTAGCTCAACTGTAAATGGTTGAAACATTGCCGAAATAGCTTACTGTCAAAGAACAAATAAACTCTTGCTCTCAATAACAAACAGACAATTGACAAGCGTAAGTATTCGACATTTTTCAACAATTCTGGCAGTTTTTATGAAAGTAATGGAATGTTTTGGCTCGGGGTAGGTTTTTTCAGACAAATTTCGTTTTTTTAGGCTTTTTAACTAGCAATTTTTGAGAAGTTTTTTAATATCATTCAAAAAGTATTGTCATCCTGTGCTTAAATTTGAAAAGATATTTCACCGGTGATTATTTTTTGTAAAAATATGGGGGTTTAAAGATGGCCATTTTGGCCAATTTGGGACAATTAACGCGCGATATATTTCACGCTATTAACGCGGAAAATTAATCCGTCTTAGAAATCGTTCCAAATTGTTTGAAGGAAATTTAATTGCAATAATTGAGTTGTTACTAGGAGCGAAATCTATCACTTTGTACTTTAGGTGTCCTACAATTTATTACCGTACATTTTAACACCTTACAAATTAACACCTAGTCATTTCATTAATAAACAATTTAAATCCACAACAATTTAACTTCTATTTTCCAATTTAACACCGTACATTTAAACACCTAGTCATTTCACTACTAACATTAATACTGTTTGAAATCCGTATCTTAACTTTTATCACACTAAAATTAACCCTGCATTTAACGGAGGGACTATAAGGAAAAACTCAGTTTACCTTGGTTATACATGCTAAAATTAGGCTTCCTAAATTACTTAAAAAATCTTATCGAAAAGTTCGTAATTTACTTTTATTTGGACTTTTTGCTACACAATTATGATCACTTAAAAAAGCTGCTTGTGCTAATTCATAACGAATTGATATAAAATTTCTGATAACTACAAAATTCTGACAGTCACTTAATAGTTTGCTCAATTGAAAAACAAACGCAAACACAATAAACACATTATGGTTGAGTCTTCTTCCGAATTCAAAGTTTAATCTAAAAACAACCCAATTCTTATAGCGTCTGGTCACGAAATTCATTTGCAGCAAAAAAATAAGTTTACTGAAAAATGGATTCACTCAAAAAATCAAACACAAATGTCGAGCAACTGCCATTGCAGAAAATAACGACTTGATCGAGACAGTGGAGAGCATAACCATTACATTTCAGCGGTAAAATCGGATGCCCGAAAGATTTACCCCAACTTTCGCATTTGCCAGTGCGGTTTTGCCGGTTACAAACTATTTGGCCACTTAGTTTGCCCTCCCAGATAAAGAAAAACATATCCGAGCGGCTGCGCGCTCACTTAAGCAGCTAGATATAAATATGCCATTCATACCCGTTGCGCGAATTTGGAGATTCCTGAAATTTTTGAATTTTTCATTTGTTATTGCAGTGAATCATTTTGTGCAGCGACCCCAAAATGCTGAGAGTTCTGGTGAAGTCATCTCTCTGGTTAGCCAATGGAGCTTTTTAAAATTAGTCCAAAAAGATTCTATCAGCTATATACAACCCATGTTAGTGCATCTGGCATTGTGTCAGCTTGCATTTACGTCTTCTATCCTAACAAAGCCAAAAAAAAGAAATAATCACTTTTTGCAGGCGTTATTTGATGAAGCAATCAACTGCCTGCCTGAAAAAAATTGTTAGATTTTGAACAAACTGCTTTTCAGTCCTTCCAAAAAACATTCCTCGAAGCACATTTATCGGGTTCTTTTCTTTAGAGCTACAAGAAAAAAATTAACAATTGGGTCTGAAAGTGACCTACGAAACGAATCACAGTTTAGCGCTGGCTTTAAAAATGCTGAATGCCCTTGCATTTGAAAAAAAATGAAAGATCGGCGATTCCTATTATATGATCGTTCAGGAAATTCAGAACTTATGCCGCAGAAATTGTCGCAAGTTTCTTAAATCTTTCGTATTATTAAAATTCAAATTTTATTCCTATTTAAACTTTTGTCAGCTTTTTTTGAAGAGAAGTTTCCTTGCAGACTCACAGAAATGTCAATAAACGCAAGAACTTGATTCGTATCGTAGCAGCTTAATCCCAGGACAATCGCACTTATTTTCGGGAAGCTAGACTGGGACTAGGGGCTGGCAAACCCTTTAGCTTTGCGTTTATCTGCCAACAGTTGAAAAAAAGCTGACAAAGCGATCAGGTTACAAGTTAAAGTTCGAGAATGATTCTGACAAAAAAGAACTTTCAGGCTTTTGGCATTAGTTAAACCTTTTTTTAAAATTTTTATACCTGCTAAATTGTCTTGAAAATTAGGCCAAATTAATCAAACACCGTCTAACTATTTGTGGGTTGTTGAAAATCCTTGAACTATTGCTTGTTTTTGGTTCATTTTGGAATGATTCATTGAAAATATTGGCAAGGTCATTTCTGTTCAAAATTCACGCGAAATAAGTAGCGCGGAATTGTCTGGTTTTCAATGGAAAAAACTTCTCTCGTTTGTTTCTTTGATAGTTATTGAAGTCCCCTTAGAAGTAAGTTTTCTTTTCATTTTGGATTAAAGTTAAATTAAGTTATAGAAATTGTTTTAAAATGTAGAGATGCTAAATTGCTAAGACAACAAAAAACAGGGATTGAAATTGTTTTGTGTTAATTTTTTAGAGTTAAAAAATGGAACCGTACTTTATATATGCCGTGTGGGGGATGATTTGAGGTGGAAAAGCGCGTCGATAAAATGCATTTTTCAAGTCTAAACCTTCCAAAAGATATCTTAAGACCTCGAAAAAGTTTGAATCAACTCATCATCCTCCCCTCTAGTTGGAAGAAGTTAAGATCTTCCACCCAGCGTTTCTTTTGCAGTGTAAAATGCTCGATTCTGATTTTGTGCAAGTCCATCATGCAACGAAGTCTACAAATTTCCCCTATTTGGATTGGGGGGAGAGGTCAACCTGTTCAAAATTTTTTCTCAAAAAAAGATCCTTTTAGAGTTTTGTGGGAGCTCAGAAAAAATCGACTAAAAACTGGTTCGAAAAAACTGCTCGTGTCAGGTATTATTGATGTGCAATAAACCTTTTGATTGTTTTGTTGTTAAATCTTGTTTTTCTCAGATGTTGTTTTTCTCAATATACCATCTGATCAATTCAAGTTCTTCTTTTCAACCCAATTCCCGTCGAAAACTTCGTAGAGTTTTGGGAGAATTCAAAAAAAAATTGACTTAAAATCTGTTTAAAAAAAACTGCTTGTCAGTCAGAAATTTGGAACGCGTCTCAATTGACTTTTGAATTATTGTCTAAAAACGTTACTGTTCAAAACTTGATAAACAACTTCATTGTTTAGCCTGCATTTAGGTTTCAAGAAATGAATAAACTGAAGGTTTTCTTATTTCAGTTGGGAAATGTTTAAGAGCTACAGATTTCTTCTCGACTTGATAGAGGATAGGAATTTAAACGCGCATAAATACATAAATGGGCATCTTCTTCGTAAACCATAAAACTAGCCCCGGTAAACTTTAAAACACATATTGGCATTTGGCAACCAAAATGGTACTTCAATCAGGGAAGCAGTACATGAAATTTTATAAATTAAAAATCCCTGGAAAATTGTTATTTAAATCGTTATTGTTCCGACCAGATGAAAAATATGGAGGAATTTTATATTCGGGTGTTTTAGTTTTTTCGTTTTTCACGCAAAATCAAGTACCACAAATAATCATCGGAATAGGTTGACTGATATATCATATTAAAGACCGTTCAGTCGTGATTCGAACGACCCAAAAAGTCATTAAATAATATCCTCGGTGTCGAGAAAAACTACGGTAAATTTTTGATTTTTGGCCTGCTTTCAAGCTAACAAGATGAGGTTAGGCAGACTTACAAAAGCTCATCTATGCTTATTTTAAGCTGTAAAAACTGTTTTTTTGCCAAGTAAAGTAAGCAAATACTTCAAAGTTCAAAAATTTATGCAAAAAATTAGAAAAATTTTTATATATTTTAAATTGTTTTAACGGTTTAATTTCGAATCATTTTTCTACAGAAAATGTCTTCCAACTGGCTTATTAAACCTTAAAGTCGAATCAGTTTTCCTTCAGATTTTTTTTCCTACCATGCAGCAAAACCGACGCTAATTCGAAAAAAAAAATTGTTGTTTTTTTAAGACCATGGTCGGAATATTCTGTAATCTGCACAGTAAGCAGCTATCCTTGTTTTAATTGAATTTTGTTGAATGAAAAAAAAATGCTGTTTTCAGGGCAAAATACTCAATGACTGCCTTGTTTTACAATATTAAAATCTTTTGTATGTACCAAAAGTTTGTAATGGTGAAAATACATTAACACATATTTTGAGAGCCAAATTTCTTCCTTTTTTTCAACGCGGGATCTAATTAACGATTAGAATGCAAGCGCGCCTCAAATAGTCTAATTTAATATTTTCGTCATAATTCAAGACTCTGAGGCCTAAAAGATATTTTGTTTTCGCAATCAATATGGTGATTTCAATCAGGGCACCGGTATATAAAAATTCTAATTTAAAACTTACATCAAACTTCTATTTGACCTAAAAAAATTTTAAATTTAAGAAAAAAGCAAGTATTGGAGCCAAAGACTGGTTTTTTTTCAGTTCAAATTATCTCAGGCTAGTTCAAATTATCTCAACTTCTTTTGTAGTAGGAAAATTTTATGTAATTACATGAAAACAGTAATCAATTTTACGCTTCATATCTTTACCCAAGCGATAAGTAAAACTACAAGGTCCCTTATTTCAACAAAACTTCCTATATCAAGGCAAAACCCTGATGGTTTTGACTGCTTTTTAAGGTCTATGGAGCAGTAATAACATGAAAAAATCAAATGTAAAAAGTTTGAACAATTTTTTTTAAACTTGAAATTTTTTGTTAAAAACATCACACCACACGCTATACAAAGTACAAAGTGATAAACTTCGCTCGTAGTAAGTAATCAGTTGTGTTAAATAAGCTTCCTTCAAACAATTTGGAACAAATTCTAAGACGGAATAAATCTCCGCTTACGCGTTAATAGCGCGAAATCTATCGCGCGTTAATTATCCCGAATTGGCCCAAATGCGATCTTCAAACCCCCATAACTTTACTAAAAACAATCACAGGTGCAATATTTTTTTTAAAATTT